GTACTAAATTAAAACACATACACATATATAATTCACAATGAATAAAATAAATTTACATAGCTAAATACAAACCAAATAAAAATGAACTGAAACAGATTTTTGCACATAGGGAAGCACCGAATACACGGTGCCTGCTACTCTGTCCATGCAGTCTGCCCTCTGGCTGGACTGGACTCACTCCTCTTCCTAACCTCTCTTCTTCACCATGTTTTCTCATGTCGGAGGAGGTCACAATGGAGAATATTATTAAATAAGTGTTTCACCATTGTATACGACACAGAAATGCGAACACATACATGTTATGTGTACGCTCTGAATTTTCTAAGTGACCACATCCATGTGAGGTGACCACGACTGAGAAACAGAATGTGCCCATGTGCTCCAGAACTCCTCTTCTCTCATCCTCCTTGCACCTCTTTCCCATTTATCTCCCCAGAAGTCAACACTCTCTCGAACTTCTAAAGCTATGATTAAATTGACGAGTTATTATTTAAGACTTTTGAGCTGCCTGGGACCAGAACCACACAGCACATGTTCTTTTACTCTGTGCTAAATTTGTGAGGTTCCTCCAAATTGTCACACGAAAGAGTGTTTGTTCTTTGTCATTTCTGCCCGGTAGCTCAGCATGTGAATGGATGACAACTTATCCATTTTTACTGATAGGGAGACATTTTGAGGGTTTCTACTTTGGGCTGATCTAGATAAAGTTGCGATGAATATTCATGTGGTTTTGGTGAACTTGAACACATTTCTGTTTGCTTATCTTCAGGATTTGGAACAGTGGGGCTAGCATGCAAGGACTTAGGCAGTTTTTAGGAAACATAATCAAGTTTATAACTGTTTCTGTTTCCATGAGGAATATACATACGTACATATATATAAATAAATAATTCCCACTTTCACAATGTAACTCCTTAATTTTTTCAGTGTTTTCATTTTTCACACTGATTACTATGATACCATATTTAGTTGTGGCTTAATGTACATTTTTTCTGAAGCCTAGAAAAGTTGAGTACTTTCTCAAGTGTTTATTTGGCATTTTAACATTCTTGTTTGTAAAGTACCTATTCTTTCTATTTTTCTACTCTCTCTTTTTATCTCTAAACAGGCTAGCTACCTTTTTCTTACTGATTTAAGTTCATTAAATATTCGACAGAACAGTTTCTGGTCAAGACACTTGCATTACAAACAATTTCTTCTGCTATGTGTCTTCCATTTTCAGCCTATTAATAGTCTATTTTGATAAAAATTAATTTTCATGAAGTCCAAACTTAAGTGTTTTTACTTCTAACCGAATAAATATCAACCTCCTCGAAAGTCACTGGATATTCTTCTGAATTACATTTAAGAAGCTTATTTATTTTTACCTTTCACTTGAACAATATGACTGACTCTCAGATATGCTCTTCCTATGCCTCCTGCACCTGGGGAGATGGAATGAATTACTCTTCTTTGTGAATTCCCGTAATGCCATGAGCTGCTTTCATGATCTATGTTATGTTATGTATCACTCTGAATCACAGACATCTACCTGCTTATCCTTTATTACAACCCCGCATTCCATTCGCTAAATTATGTAAATTCTTCATGATCTTTTTATTACATCCAATCCAGTGTCCTTCCTACACACCTCTGGAATTGGTCTATTTGCTTACACTCTAACTGCCACCTTCATGGTCTGTATGTGTGACATTTCATCCTGAGAACTCCATGGCCCCTTCGCTGATCCCAGCCTCTATTCCAAAATACTGTCTTAGTGCTACTTCTTCTTTAAAATCCTTCCATGAAGTCCACTGCTCTTAAATTAATGTTCTGCTCATTACTGTGCAGCACAGGCATCTGAGGATTTGAAGGATTATCTTGTTTTTTTCACCACCGATGCCTCTGTTTTAATCTCATAAGACTTTAATTTCCTGGAATGCCCCTTCATAAAGACTCTTCTGTCTACCTCTGTATCTGCGCTCCACCCTCCTATGCAACCCTAGTATCCTTTATTATAGGAAACTTTTTTGACTTCCTAGTAAGTTAAATCCTCGTACAATCTGGTGCTCTACAACCCTCATATATTTTCAGTATAAAAATTCATTACATTTATTGTTTGTTTGAATCCCATCTTCTGTAGAATAGAGTGCACATTTCCATGGGGCAGAAACCCTGTCCGTCTTGTTCACCACTTTATCATTTTGCCTATCTCATTACTAAGATGGATTCTTAAAAGATATTTGTTGAATTCATCTGATTTGTGCTCATCCGCCCTAGGTTTGGTATTGGATTTGGCGCAGAGTCTCAAGAAAGACCTGATGATTCGTCATTTTTATAAAATCCTAGGATCAGCACAGGAAAACCACTTACTTCAATTACTCAACCCAACTGAATAATGCTTAAGTAATCTCTATCATATCCCTGCCACACACTACCTACTTGTAATTCTCAGAAAACAGACAGCCACTGCATCCTTCAGCAGGTCATTCCAGGACGGGGCATGGATGTGCATCAGAAAGGTCTATTTTACAGCTGAGGATGTGGTTCAGGTGTAGAGCTTTTGTCTAGCATGTGCAAGGTCCTGAGTTCAATCCCTAGCACTGCCAAAAACAGGGGAAGAGAAAGGTCTGTTTGATACTGAGTTAAAAGCTGGGATTCTCGTAACTCCTCTTACACTAAAAGGAGCTTGGTCCATTTTATCCATATTAATGAAGTTACACTATCTTTCATGCCAGACAGCACTTCATCTTTTGTACTTCAAGTTAACTGTCTTTTACAACTTATCATAGGACAGCTCCCTCCTGACACCACAGGAGGCTCTCAACTTCCTTCTTAAAGTGCGATGCTTGAACACAGACCCAGTCCTCCCCGTGTGCTGTGGCCAATCTAAAGCAGAAGAATAGGGCTGCCACCTTCTTTCAGTGAATAGTACGCTTGAGGTAACATAAGAAACAGCAGATCTGAGTTTTAGAAAGGACAGATGCTTATGAAATAACTGCTTTGGGGGAAAGAGATTCAAAATGAGATATAAAACTCAAGATACATTTAGAAAGAGAAAACAGGAAGACAAAAAGTGAGGTATCTATAGACAGTATGCTTCAGTACCTTGAGAGAAAGTCAACCTCGAAATTTTCCTAAAACCTGCACAACTTCCTTGGTACTAACATCCTGCTGATCCTATTAAGTTCATTCTAAATATAACTCACAAGCATCCCTGCCTTCACCACTGCAGCCAGGAAGTGAAACACCCACAGGCACCACATTGCCTGGTTTCAAAGCCTGGCTCACTTCACAAAGTTGCTCTGGGCACCACGAGAAGTACCACGTCAAAAATCCTGGGAAACCCAAGACAGATTTGCTTTCTCATTCGTTTTGTTAACAGGGAAGCATTTCATCCACCCTTTACACTAAAGAGAAGTTTTTTGTTTTTGTTTTTGTTTTTTTTTTTTTATCCTTCCCCCATGCATTTTAGGTTCTGCTGTGTTGTCTGTTTTTCACTCTGAACCACTACCTTAGCCTGAATATCCCGAGAGATTCTCCTTCAGGGCTGCCAAGTGACCCTACCATGTGCTTCCAGCAATGTTTCCCAATCATCTTTTCTAATGGGTACATGAATAAAATACTCGCCAAAGAATCAGGGCATAAATGTCATATTAGTCTGTGCTTCACTCTACCTGACAATTTCAACCCAACCTCCTCCCACTGACATTCAGAATCACCTTTATCGTCTACCTTTTGAGAAGGTCACATTTTTAGTCTGCTCAAAGTTAAAGCGCGTCATATTTCTCTGATTATAAAGTTAAGACAACATCTTTCTAGGAAAGTCAGAAACAGAACTAGAAGCCTAAAATAAATCGCATACAACCTAACCATGCAGAAGTAACCTCTTTTAACATCTTGGTATGTTTTCTTGCAGCTTTATTTTTACTTCTCCATTTATTTTTGTAAAGATCATGCTACACAGTCAATCATAAATCTTCTTTGTCAACATCAAAACATTTTCAGTTATTCTAGAAAATTCTTTATCAATGGCATTTCAGTACCTGCTTAATATGTTGTATGAATGCAACATAAATCACTTAGCCTTTTTTTCTGAAACATTAAGATGTTTCCTTTTTTTACAATTTATATATCATTTTTCTTAAAACAATACCATTTGTTCTGAAATTCTCCGTTTTTTCTTGCAATCTCCCCTCTTTCATATGCTGTGACTTGCAAAGGGTTAATTACTATTTTAAAGTGTGTTTTCTTTAAGGTAATAAAGACATCTTGAGAGCCTAACACAAACTTGACACCAAATAAATACAATAACTTACAAATATCAACAAATTAATCTATATTATTACATATAGCTGAGAATGTCACTGTAGCTCCTAGCCAGTAATGAGCATTACCACTTGTAAACTCTTCATAGAGCATGCAGGTGTACGTGTCTGTTATTTAAGACAATATACGATTAGGGCTGGGGGTTTAGCTCAGTGGGTCCGCTGCCTGCCTTGCAAGCACAAGGGCCCAAGTTTGATCCCCAGTACAAAAAAAAAAAAAATGGACTATACCTGATTAGAAAATAAGAAGAAAGAGAAATTACAGAGAATAAAAAATTCTATGAAGTGTTCTATATTTCTTAGGATCAAATAATACCTGCCAAAATGCATTGGAAATCAAATACAGTAATGCAGAAAATTCAGATGATATGATATGAAACTTTAATATATATTAGGTCTGGGGCATCTATAAATAATACTGTTTAGACATTTTCATCAAAATAATCAGATAAAGCCTACATTTCCATATTTGCAATCTGAAAACTAATTGATAACCATGAATTTAATGTCCCATATATGTAAAATTTAAACAAAATCACGTCATAACTGTCTAATACCCACGTGTGTAGTTTTCATTGGATTTTCTGTTCTTCACCTTCTTTATTCTCCCTCCAAACCCCTCCTCATCCTCTCCTTACACTGTATCTGTGCTGCACCCCTCCCTGGGCCCCACCTTCTCTACCGACTTCCTACCTTGAAGGTGCAGTTTGCTCTCCGTGCTTTGCAGAAGGACGGAACTCACAGAGTCCAGATTGTCATAGCTGTTACAGCCCAGTGGCCCAGTGCGTGTCTCTGTGACCTGGAGTAGGCATCAAATGAAACAAGTGTAAGATAGGTGCTCCCAACTAGGGCAGACCCCAAAGAATTATTCCCCAGCAGAGCGGGGTCTTTTTTCTGTGTATGTAGATGCTGCCTGGATGCTTTGCCCATGCCTGAGACAATGCCTGAGTGTCAAAAATTAGACTGATGGGCAGCTCAGTCAGGCACACAGACTGGAGCTGCACACCCGGTGCCTGTCTCTGGTTCTTACTCCACAAGTCACTGTGGGTATTCTAAGAACTAACAGTGTGATGTAGTACCATATATTTCAAAAGCATGAGCTTTGCAATCAGAAAAAGAAGATCAGTTTTAAGTCATAGTTGGACCATTTATTTCCTGTGCATTATAAAGAACTTCTTTAACTTCCTAAATTTTTTGCAAACCCAAGCTAGTGTCTTTGAGGGAGGTCATGAGTCAGAAATGATGAGTATAAATGCCTGGTACAAGAAGAGTGTCAAAAGTGGGCATTCAATTACGAAATGTCTCCATAAACTGTAATGAGTACACGTGCATTATCATCAGGCAAGAACAATAACATCACCCCCATTTTCCAAGAGACGTTTCAGTAATAAACAATGACTGTCACTGCTGCAGTCTTCCAAGACTTGAGGTGGTGAACAACAGAAGAACAGCTATTTAAGAAGTATCCTTGAAATAACACTGGGTTAGCATAAAAAGAGGCCTCTCCATCCCTTTGCTTCGAAGGTTTTGGCACTGTTTTGATGCTTGCACCCAGCTTGAAAGAGGCATTCTCCCATGTAAGGAATCAGAGCCTCACAGGGCTCTTCTGCCTCTTCCACCTTTTAAGTCTTGCACTGTTAACTTTCCCTTTGTGAACCTCACCTTCACATTCTATAAAATGTTAGAAATGCTCTTATTCACCCAGCCAGGTAAGGAGATCATATTTTAATGTGTTTAACCCTAGGGATATAAAAAATGCATTGTGAATGATCAAGTTTTATTTTATTGTGTTTTACAGATAATGCAGGGTTTTTTTGTACAGAATAATAACAGGTTATTATTGAGTGAGAGTTAAAACTACCAATTTATCTTACTAAAGATACATGTACTGAGCAGAAAGGGAAACAGGCAAAATTCCCCATGTGCATCTGTGGCTGGCCTTCAACAAACCTGGCCATAAGAAAAATTCTAGTGCGTTGGATCTTCAGACAGTAGTAAGAAATGTAAAGAAAACTCCAAGGGCCAAATTGAGTGTGAAAAGCAGTGTTAGTGTAAGAATGGTTTCTTGAGAGGTCTCTGCACAATTTGTCTGAGAAATTCCTCCTAAGGAAGCAGACTGCACTATCGGGATGCACAAAAGAGGATTATCTTCTGAAAGAGCTTCAATATCTCAGTTTTGCATCCTGTCCAGCGGGGAGAGAACAATTTGGTGATAATGAAAACCAGGTCTTTGCTGCTCCCTAACTCCAATGGCTGCATAAAGATCCACCTAACGCTGAGCTCCCTAACAACAACATAATTCCCCAAATACAGGCCATTCTCCTAGGATGAGCTGGTCCTTTGTTTGTCAGTCTGATTTATTTCTCTGCTTACTACTCTTCTACTAACAACTCTCCCTCCCACACAGTTCTCTTTTCATGGTCAATTTCTGACTCATTTGCCTGAGTCTCCTTTGACCTTCCATGAGCTCTTCTTCCTTAAAGACATCTCAGGGAGTCTTAATGTAAGAATAGGTCTGCATTTTCTTCAGGATACTGAGAAGCAAAATGAAGATGTAATCTAGTTTCAGAAAATTTGAGATGGAAAAGATGCACACTGAACCTCTCAAGAGGAAGACTCCTTTATTTCAAGAATGTCCTCCCGCATACTTCTTACAGAAGCAGTCTGTATTCATACTTAAAAAATTGAATCTTTTTAAAACTCCTGGGCACTAAGGCATTTACTTGAAAGTCCAGAGCTGCTGTATCCACAATGACTATTTAAATTTTAAATAACTAAACAAATTTACATATTTACTTTCTCAGTAGCCACAAACATCATCAAGTGCTCAATAACCCTAAGTGAAAATCAGCTGCTATCTTGGCCAGCACAGATGTGGGCATGTGCTTCATCCTAAAAGGTTCTTTTGGCCAGTGTTGGTAGCGACAAGCTTGTTTCAGCAAATAACAGTACACTGTTATGCCTGTTCTTATAAATAAAGTTTTATTTGAACACAGTCATGTCCATTTGTGTCCTTGCTGCTTTTGTTCTAAACACTCTATACAGTCAAATAGTAGAGTCTACTAGAGTTAAGTAGTAATAACTGTGGTCATCATAGCTGCAAAGGCTAAAATATTTATTATCTGGTACTTTATAGAAACTGTTTGTTGACCCTTGGTTTAGAGTAGAGATTAAGTCATTGTTAACATATTCTCTAGCTGTGTAACCTTAAACAAAAGGTTTCAACAGTGGGCCTCTGTTTTACAAATGATAAGGTCCAGAGTTGATCTATCCAATGTGGTAAAACAGAGGATGAGAAAAAAATAACAGAAGAAAGACATGTTTAAAAAATGACTTATGTAGCCAGGTGTGGGGGCACACACCTGTAATCCCAGCACTCGGGAGGCTGAGGTAGGAGGATTGCTGTGAGTTCGAGACCAGACTGGGCTACACAGTGAGTTCTAGGCCAGTCTGAACTACATAGTGAGACACTGCCTCAAAAAACAAAACAAAAATAAAATTACTTATGTAGGCATGGCCAATCTGATTCTTGCTAGCAATGTGTTCTCAGGAAAATAACTTGCCCATTAGAAGCCTGTTACTTCAACTAGAAAGGAAACTGGAGAGTTATCCACACAGGACAAATATTGAGGAGTGAATGAGAGGACTCTTGATAATGTCGCCAAGACCAAAGTCCGAGTTCTCCATTCAATCAGTGCATTCAGACATCCTAACAGTAATGTTCATGGTACTGCAAGGTATGTGACAATATCTGTCAGGAAGACAGGTGTCACCACGAGCTGCATGGATACGAGGCCAGGCGCTGTGTCTGCCCATCTACTCTCAGAGTATCTGTGTTGCCGCGTTTGTGTCTTGAGAACCTGAAGCCCAAGCCCCTCCCTCAATCTGTTACCTTGATTGCTCCAGTTGATATCTGGATCTCATGAAGCCTCCTCATGGTGCCATCACGATCAACAAAGTAGGAGGACGCAAGCTGGTGCAGAGCTTCCACACTTTGCGTGGCATTCCCTGACTTCCTGTCGAGGTGACTTTTGTCCATGTACATGGTCAATGCCTCCTCTCCTGCATGGGATAAGACAAATGATAAAGAAGATTAACTGAGTCTCAGTGTGCGCCGAGAAGAGGTACCGAGATACGGGCAATGACAATTGTACTGAATCTCCAACTAAAATTGTCCAAATTTCCTTCTGCCTCAAAAATCAAGGTCACAGTGAAAAAGAAACCATCCAGAGGTGTCTGTGAACACCAAGCTCCAAGTTCAGGGTCAGGACCACTGAAAAACCCTCAGTCACTAAGTCCATCTCTGGCTAAAACACTTCATCTTCGTCACCAGCCTCCTCCTGCACAGTGCAACCCACTTTTCCTCATCTGAAGAGTTCAGTCTTCTCTCTAAAATGATGCATCTGGCATAGGTATTCTTTCCTCCTGCCTTTTCCCCATTTCTTCATCATAATTCAGTTCTTCCTTTTCCTTTTCTCCACTCGTCCAGACAGACAAATGAACGGAGGCATGTATAGATAGGATGGCGAAATTCAGAGGCAGAGAGAAATTACGACTAGAGAAAGCTATGTCCCTTTATAGTGAAGGAAAAATAAGTTTTCATCTCTGTTAAGGTAGGTTTTGTCCATATTAACCATGATTTTGCTCCTTGCATGAAGCACAGTGCTTGGCACAGGGTGAATATTGACTAAAGAGTTAACTCGTATTACTTTTTCACTCATCCGGTACATTTTAAACTTCCTTTTCATATACCAGGCACTAGGCTTCCGCAAGTACAAGACAGCAGAGGTGTCATCATGGGATGTGAGGGTGAAGGGTGATCACAAAGTTAAGTATAGGAAGGGAATATAAAAAGATAGCTATATGTGCATGGATGATAGATAGGTAGGTAGATAGATAGATAGATAGATAGATGTATATTTGGTTTAATTGAGAGTGAAATGGTTATAGAAATATACATATGTTCTTTATCCAGTCTCCAACTGATGGGAAAATGGGCTTTTCCAAGTTTTAGCTATTACAAACTGTGCTGCTATAAACATAGGTACGCATATATCACTGTGATATGATTCTTTTAATTCTTTTGGAAAGATACCCGGCAGAAGGATGTCTGGTTCAAATGGAACCTCTAGTCCCAGCTCTTTGAGGTATCTCCATATTGATTTCCATAGTGGTTGCACCAGTCTGCACTCCCACCAACAATGGAGAAGGGTACATTTCTCTCCACAACCCCACCAACATTTATTATTGGTTGATTTCTTGATAGCAGCCATTCTTTGTGGGGTGAGGTGGAATCTCAGTGTTGTTTTCATCTGCATCTCTCAAATGACCAGTGATGTGCAACATTTTTTCATATATTTAATTGCTGCTTTTACTTCTTTGTCTGAGAAATATCTGTTCATTTCAGATGCCCATTTTTAAATTGGGTCTTTATATTTGGGGGGGGCTGATTGTTTTGAGTTCTTTATATATTCTAGATAAGAGTCCTTTGTCTGAGGAGCAGCTGATAAAAAAATTTTCCGCCATTGTAGGCTGTCTTTTAGTTCTGTTGATGGTTTCTTTTGTAATGCAGAAGCGTTTTAATAAGATGAGATCCCACTTGTTGATACTTTTTGCTAGTTCCTGTGCTACTGATGATTTGTTCATAAAGTCTTTTCCTTTGACAGTGTCTTCAAGAGTTCTGCCTAATTTATCTTCCAGAAAATTTAGTGATTCATTTTAATATTTAGATCTTTAATGCACTTGGATTTTAGTTTAGTGCATGGTGAAAGATAAGGGTCTAATTTTAATCTTTGGCAAGTTGAAATCCAGTTTTTCCAACAGCATTTATTAAAGAGGCTGTCTTTCCTCTAGTGAGGATGGTTGGCTCCTTTGTCAAAGATGAGGTAGCTGAGTACATCTGCAGTTGTTTCTGTATCTTCCAATCTATTCCACTGATCCTCAGGTGTGTTTCTTTGCCAGTACTAGGCTGTTTTTATCACAGTGGCTTTGTAGTATAGTTTCAAATTGGGAATTGTTATATGCACTGCCACGTCTCTATTACCTAGTATGGCTTTTGCTATTCTAGGTCTCTTCTGGTTCCAAATGAATTTTGGGATTCTTTTTTCTAGTTCTGTGAAATATAGTGTTGGAATTTCAATTGGCATTGCATTGAATCTGTATAGCAGTTTTGGTAGTATGGCCATTTTCACTATGTTGATTCTTCCTACCCAGTAGCTTGGGATATCTTTCTATTTTCTTTTATTCTCTTTGATCTCTTTTTTCAGAGGGCTGTAGTTTTCAATGTAGAGGTCTTTTGCTTCTTTCATTAGACTGATTCCTAGATACTTCATTTTTTTGGATGCTATTGTGAGAGGAATCATTTCCATAATTTCTCTCTCAGTGAGTCTGTTATTTGTGTACAAGAAGGCTTTTGATTTTTGAGTGTTTACCTTGTATCCAGATACTCTGATGAAAGTGTCAATTAAGTCTAGAAGTCTTTTGGTGGAATTTTTTGGGTCTTCAATGTAGAGTATCATATCGTCAGCAAATAATGACAGTTTAACTTCTTCCTTTCCTACCTTTATTGCTTTAATTTCTTTCTCTTGTCTAATTGCTGTGGCTAATGTTTCCACATCCATATTGAAGAGATGTGGTGATAATGGGCATCCTTGTCTTGTTCCTGATTTTAACATGAGCCTTTTCAGTTTTTGGCCATTTAATATGATGCTGGCTGTTGGTTTTTCATAGATAGCCTTTATTCAGTTGAGATATAGACTACGTATTCCAATTTTTTGCAGGGTTTTAATCGTGAATGGGTGTTGAATTTTGTCAAATGCTTTTTCTACATCTATCAAGAGGGTCATATGGGAAAAAATGAGAACCAAGACCTGTCATGTAAAGGTACAAGATCCCAATGATGAATGTAACTGTACTGTATACCTAAAAAGTACTAATAAAGTCAATGAGAAAATAAATATACATATGAATATAATAGTAAAAATTTAGAGATTTTCCTTCATGAAATTTTCTTTGGCAAGGTATGCATCAACTACTAACATAATTCAGGTATGGTAAATATTACTTTAGATAACAAAATATCTCATTAGAACATTGGAAAGGAAGTTCTGGATAAGTCCTTTAGAAATGCTTGACTGAAAATAATGGAAACAGCTTTTGTAAATGGGGAAAGGAAGGAGGACTGAACAGAGGGGAGGGCAAAGGGCCAAAAAATAAGAACTAAGATATGTTATGTAGAGGTAGAAACTCCCCCATGATGGATGTGATCATTACGTACTGCAATCATGCACTAATCAAAATAAATTTTAAAAATTTAAAAAAATATTTGATCACTGTTCTCCTGCCTTCACTCTGCATTGATCTTGTGAACTCAGACATGGTTATTAAATTTTTTGTTCCTTGGTTTATTTATTAGTTATAATGAAGAAAAAAGCACCTAATACCATGAGGGTATTGAGAAGAATAAATTCACGAATACATGTGAAGTCTTTAGAATAATGTCTGGTTCACTGTAGCATTTGCAAATTTATTATTAGGAGGGCAAGGGTATAGTTCAGTGGTGAAGACTGTGCTTAGTGTACTTGAGTTCCTTGGTTTCATTCTCAGAAAGAAATGGCAGGAAAGAATGAAGAAAGGAAAGCAGAAAGGGAAGGAGGAAAAAAGGAAATTGCTTATTAGTAGTAATTACAGGCAGAGATGACTGTGGAGTTAGTCTGCCTTGAACTAAACTAGCTGAGTTAACATCTCTATGCCTCAGTGTTTTATGTAGATATTGGGAATAGAAATTACACTTACCTCAAAGATGGTTTAAGGATTAAATTAGTTAATTACATAAGATACTTGAACCCTACCTTGTATATAGAAAACATTACACAAGTCTTAACGATCATTATTTTGATAATTGCAAATTATTAATTATATGATATTTAGCCTTAAATGTAATTAATTTATACAATAAAAAATTGAGAGAACAAAAATTCTCAGTGCTTCCTGAGACACAAATCCTGGTCTCTAGGATAATGGGAATCTCTTCAGAATACTGATGACTTGTTGAACCGCAAAAGCACAGTTCTCATAAGGAATTCCATCCTGTCCCTGCCCTAAATATCTGACTTTTGAAATTCCATATGGCTTTATGGCCCATTTTAATGTCACTTTCTCTTAGTAGCCCCTCCTTGGATCCTGGCATACCTCCTACACATTTCTTGCAACCTGCTCAGGCATTGATCCCAGGAGAGCTTTCTTCAGCCACATGCTCACCCCCAGAGAGAAACAATGGCTTCCCTTCATCATTCCTTTATTTGCTCATGGTATTCAGCTCAGCAAACATGCACTGAGCATTTCTTGTACCCTGGGTGCTTTGACAAGCACTGGGGTGACAGATGAATGAGACACTGAGATGTGACATAAATGTGACCACACATCAAGATTTAATAAACCAGGCATGGTGGCACACACTTGAAATCTCAGCACTTCAGAGGCTAAGTAAGACAGGAGGATCACTGTAAGTTCAAGGCCAGCCTGGGCTACACAGTCCAAGATCAGCCTGAACTACATAGCAAGACCTTGTCTTAAAAAAAAGATTTATCATAAAAGATGTAACGTCTCTCCTTAATAGTTTATTCCACTGATTGCATATTGAAAAGATAACGTTTTAGTTATATTATGGTAAATGAAATATATTATTAAATTGATTTCCCCCTTTTCTGTTCCAAAATGTGTCTGTAAAAACATTTATAGTGGTATATATGGTGTATACATTCTACTTCTATTGACTGATTGTGGTTGGAGAAGAAAAGTGTAAAGAGATCTTTTCAAAATATCAGATGGACAGTGAAAGAGAAAGAATTTCAGAGTGGGGTGCAGATCAGGGAAAGGCTGCCCATATCTGTGTGGATAATGCGGACCATAAAGTCTCTCCAGGCACATCTCCCACCGCTCTCTGGGTGCACTCTGTGCTTTACCGATGTTCCCCATCTCCTCTCACTCTTGGGACTCTGCTACTTTATTTTTTTCTTGCTAACTATTACACATCCCTCTGGTGCCACCCAACACAGAATCTCCTCCAAAGGTCCTTCCCTCTGTCCTGCACTCCTTTTTCGAACTCAGTTAATGACCCTCGCCATGGGTGCCCACAGTTGCCTTTAATTTTCCAGTGCATCTCTTGTCATGTTTTCTGCTGATTTCTGATTCTGTCTCTTCCACTAATGCAGAAACACTGTGAACTCAAAGAGCACACCTGGTTCTTTTATCACTCTCTTGTCATTGCCTATCAAGCTCAATATGGGCATGTAATATATGCTTAATAAATAACCAAGGGCTTATAGCTGAATAAGTGGGCATAGAGGTAGTCCCTAGATACCATGCTTATTGAGTGATATGGCTACCTCATCAACAAGATGGAAACCTCCCAGCAAGAAAATTTATTACCATCCAAATTCATCTCTAGGTTCCATGTAGGTAGACCTGACTTGAGCTCAAGCAAGACACTCAAGTTTGCATTTTCACATGAAGCCTTCACCACACTGCAACAGGATGTGATGTTCTGTCCTTTGGACCCAAAAGTACTCAAAATAGATCTGCCTTAGAAATGGCTTTATATCCCATTACACTTTGGGTTCAAGAAACAAAATGCAGTAGGGAAAAGGAACTTGGACAGTAATTTATCTTTCTAATGTTCCCAGTGCTTTGCCTGGAGTTTGATGAAATGCAGATGTTCAGATAAGTGGAGGGATAGATGGATGGAAGGGTGGACCGATGACTGAAAGGAGAGGAGCACTGATGGCCGGAGAAGTAAAGGATTATGTGAATACACCAGAAGCTTGAGCCATAAGGCAGAGGAAATAAATATTCCAAGTGCCAGCTCAGGCTCTCTTAGGGCCTGTGAAACAGAAGCTGAAACAAGCCCTGCTCCCCCTGGACTGAGAGCTAGCAGAAGCAAACCTTAGATCAAGAGGGGTTAATGCACTTCTCGCTGCATTATTAAGACTTAATTGCATGTTTATTAAGAGAATGTTCTGTTTCGAGTTGCTTTCCCACTTGGGCATTCCTGCAAATTGCCTCTCACCCTACATAGGTCTTCCCTCCATCTTCCGGTCCTCTAGGGGGCTTTGTGGCATTTTCTCTCAGAGGACTCAGACACAGCGTAAGGGGAAAGAGGTGGGAGCTGATCCTTTTACCTTGGAGTCTCAGATGGTGGGGGTGAGAGTATCTAGATTTTAAGACCACAGGTTACCCCGTCCTATCCTTCTGAGGCCCTGTAGTTTTATTTTGAGCCTTCCTCTAGCCAAGGGGAGATCTCCACAAACTCCATGTGAGGAGAAATGAACAGACCCACAAACAGAAAAATAGGCAAAAAGAAGTCTTCATGTTACAAAGGAAATCTATGCAGTACACACACATTCACATCAAAGCTTATATATACATAGACATGCATAGCTTGCATTCAGATGTATGTGTGCAATGTGAATGTTTTCATGCCACTGTGCGCATTAGCTCCGATCCAAACATAGGTAGCATTTCTGCACACCTCTCTAGGCAGGCAGCCATGTACTCTCTCTCATGCATGCAGGATTAGTCATGTATGTCACACAGACACTCAGCCCGAGGTGTTTCCTTTGGCCCAAAATATGACATTTGGAGGGTCTAACCAAAATTGTTAACTTTGGTTTCCTATGTGTACTTCTAGATGCAGTTTGTCTCTTCACCACCCTCCATAAAGAGAACACTCATGTCACGTATTTTTTAGTTTAATGGATGTCACCAAAAATTTCGAAAGTGCATGAGAATGTTTTAGTTGTTGGTTTTCCCACTAAATCCACTCCCTAATTTCCACTCCCAGTACTTCCTATCCCTTCTGCCCAAACAACCAAGTACATTTACTTTCCCTATTTGTGACAGTTTACAGGTCATGTTGTTTTCTTATTATGCCTTTATGAACGTACATGACAGCTCCCAGAGTTTGTAAAAGCCTTTCTTCTCAACCAGTACAGTGTCAGAAAAAAATTATACTGAATAACATTGTCTGTCCTTTTTAAAATATAGATGAGGAAGCTGCTATCCACACAGAGAAGTGGATTTTTGAACGCCTTGCACTATCTAGTGAGTTCAAGGGTATGGCTTTAATCCTGTTTCCTCCAGTTCCTTAGAACCACTGTATAATAAAATTCATAGCAAGAATAATGACATTAATGACCATAATGATAACAATTTTTTAGGTATCAGAATGTTTATCACTTTTCACACATTATTTTGGTCCTCACAGTGTGCATTAAGGTAGGACTATGACTATTTATAAAAGAGGAAGTGGAGGCTCAGAAAATTGAGTTTCTTGCCAAAGTGACACTCGGCTACTGAGAAACAGGAGGCAGGAAAGGAAAACTGATGATCAAAGGCCAGAGCATGCCCCCCCAGCTCACTAACTTCCCAGTCATCCCCGCAGAGCATCAAGTGGCCCTTACAAGGTATTTTCTCCATGAATGCAAGAGTGAAATGATGAAGTGAGAAGGACTTCACACAGTTTCTGGCACACGGCGTTCCATCAATAGTGAATCTCTTCCTCCTCCCTCCCTCCACTTGGCCGTGGTGAGGGCTGAGCAAACATTCGGGTCCTGCTGTCCAACACTGGCTTTCAATCCAAACCTTTACATATTTCAAAATGTCGTGTTGTAAAATCAGGAGAGGAACAAGGCTCTGTGAGTAATTTACCACCTTGCCTTGAAGAAATTAAAAAATATATTTCACTAAGCAAGAAAAATCTTTGTTACTTGGGATTTCCAGAGCACAATTTAATGGAAGAACTGAACTGGTTGCAACGATTGTTTTTTGTTGTTGTTGTTTTCCCCCATCAGTAAATGGGAGACATTCAAAGGAAAGAGTACAGTAGATGTCACACTCCCTGCAGAAATTAATTCACATTAAAGTAATGCAGAATTTATACTAATGAGTCAAATCTCAAAATCTGACTTAATTCATCCTGTAGCAACAGACAGTGAGTATTTGCTGATTGGTTGGTTGTTGGAGTCAGTGCATAGCGTTGAGTGAGCAAACTGGTTACAGAGAGAATCCATATTGGATGGAAAAATAATAATGCAAGCTTTGTGGCCAGAAAACTCTAAGCTGAAAATGTAGCTTTGCCATTTCTTAGTTATATGCCTTCTGAGTGCCAGAATTTTTATTTATAGTATGTCAGTAATATGATTTAATGTGCAGCTTTGAGGGGTACAACAACAGAGAACGCTTGCTTTGAGGTAAATACCCACTAAGTAGGGACTTTTCTTGGTTATGTCCCCCCAAAGCTTCATGCACTCATAGGTGTGGCTTTTGGGGTTTGACTAGGTTAACCAGGGTAAATTTCAGCCAGAGGAGGTGGGTTACCGGGGTGCATGGGCTGAAAGGAACTATCTCCCTCCCTTCATCTTTGATCTCTTTCTGCTTCTTGCCCATCAGTTTCTCCTCTTCCATGCCCCTCTGCCATGTCTGGCTGCCTTGCAACCAGCTACCTATGGACTGAAATCTCTACAAACTGTGATCCAGAACAAACCTTTCCTCCTTAGTGTTGAGGATGTGCAGTACTGTGTCTCTGAACAGAAAAGTAGCAAAGACGTAGCTAATATTATTCTGAGAGTGGAACGATTTTTCCAGTCAATATCTCTATCACATCCCCCACGTTACCAAATCATTTGTCACCCTCAAAATGCATACCATATGCTCAACCCAAAAATGCTGCCACTTTCCTTTACCTAGTCAGTTTCTCTTGAGCTAAACCGCCACTTCACTCCATCCTGCCTCTGACAATATAACAATCTCTTTACCTAGAGTGAGTCATAAGCAAATGGACTTTTAGCATCTTTGTGAGCAGGCAGCACTGTGTTGTACCACCCAGAAGGTTTTCTAAAAGTTCAGTGGACCTGATCAGGGTGAAAACTCTGATGCCAAAGGGATTATACTCCTTAATATCAAATGATTCCTGCAGCCAAGAACCATCAGCACATACGTGCCCTCATCTGTACCATTTTCCATTAATTTTATCCCTTTCATTCAGCCCCCTCTCCTCACTTGAAGATGGATTCAACCTGATGTGGAGGGATGGGTAAAATTGAGCAGGTTAAAGCAATTAGCCTACTTTCCAGTTAACCTGTTCTAAGCCCATATGAGACAACAAATAATAGCCAATTTGTAAGATGATATGCTCAAGTTAACAGTCCCTAAAGTAGACTTAAATGAGCAATGCAAGTCCCTGCACAATATCTGAAATTCATTTTCCCCCAGGTTAGACCAATATTCCAACAGAACTAAGACAATTACTGCAGTACACATGCCTAACAAATGGATCAAATTCCACGGATAAGCCATACTGCCACAATACTTCATTCTAAACTTAGAATTTCCCACAGCACTCAAGTATATGCTCAGCTGTGACTGGAAACGACCAATATGATGCAGCTTCTCTGGATAGATACGCTTTTGAGCGATGTCCAAAGTTATGGACACTAGGAAGAGTTTGCTGTCTGTAACCCACTCTCTCTTCCATTGCTGGAAGTCCTGACAGGGCCATGGCCCAGTGGCTGTGAACCTACCTCCCAGTGTGGCCGAGATGAGGAGATGGGTGCCGTACTTTTTGATGATGGTATCGATGAACTGCTGAGTGGTGGGTCTCCTGCCAAGCAGACGGATGCTCCTTTGAAACTCCGGCATGAGGGGCACTGGATGACGGACCAGATCTCTCCTCTCAATGGCTGTGTTCCTCACCTTCCAACGGGCAAACTCCCTAGACAGGAGAGATGAGCAACACTCCTCAACTCATCATTTCTGTCGCCGAGCCAAAGCCCACCCAACCATCCCATCCAGGGATTACTCTTCAGGTGCAAAAGTATCGATAATTACTTTTAATACTCATTAACACTGAAACATCGGAAACATGGGACTTGGGCTTTCAGTCCTCTTCTGACAACACATATTTATTGAGTAGTACTCCTATCACTAGGGTAGTGAACCCAAGAGACAAAGCTATGCTCAGAGTTGTTTGCAGAGCATCAGGTAGGGAGAGTCAGGAATCACTTTCTCTAGGTGTGAGTGCAGAGACGGAGCAAAATGAAGGGGAACGATAATCACTACTATCTCAAGATGATGATGGTGGCGATGTGGTAGTGATGGGGGTAACGGTAGTGGTGGTGGTGTGGATGGTGAGGACGATGGTACTGTGGATGGTGGTGGTGGTGGTGATGACAGTGGTGGTGAGGATGATGGTGCTGCTGCTGCTGACTGTCCTGATGAGGATTTTCATGATATTTCAGAGTCCACAAGAATAGTATGTCTTATTTCTCATCTATCAAACTAAACCTGTGACAGGGGATTATTACCCACTTCAGGTTCATTTCACAACAACGAGTGTCTCATTGGTCTCTACCTGCTTGTCCGTCTTTCTCACTAGACTGTGAATGACACTAGAGGGACTGAACCTTCTTAGATATCCCTGACTCACCCTGGTAAACAATTCAGTGCCTGTCACATGTCAGGATTTGCAATGTTTTATGGGTGAGTAAATAAACAAATGGAAGGAAGAAAGGAAAGAGGAAAGGGAGACAACTAGTCTCCCTTTAGTAGTCTCCTAGTAGTAGTCTCCTAGTCTCCTAGTCTCCTAGTCTCCTAGTCTCTTTAGTAGTCTCCTAGTCTCCTCTAGTAGTCAGGGAGAGAGGAAGGCAGGCTAAGAAGAATGAATCTAAGACAGTATCTAAAGCCTCCTGAGATCAATGCTAAGATACCTCAAAAATCAAATATCAAGTTCAAAGCTCCATTTAATTCTAAAGTATAACATGAATTCATGGAATACCTAGAGTGAAGGGGAAACAGCTATTCTGTGAAAATAAGACATATAAGGAAAATTTAATTGCTCCTTCAGTAACAAAACAGATGAAGAAGGAGGAGCACTGATCAAGTTTTGCCCACTTCTTGAAGATTATGTGATATAATATGGGGCAAAGCCCGTTCCTTCTCTGGACCTATATTTCTTTATCTGCAACACTTCAAGTAATACTATCTATTTTCTACTGCTGGCGCAGTGATCACACAAAAAAACAGAGTGTGAAAATACCTTTGGAAGCTGCAAGGCACTCATCTAATGTGAAATATTGTTTAATGCCTTCATTTCCTCCCAAGTTCCCAGGTATGCATGTGTAAATCATTAGAGGTGTACAGACGGAGAACATGGAGCATGCAAACTGAGGACAAGTGGACATTTATTGGGACTTGACTCGGGTTACTTGTGCTTAAATAAGAATCACTACTGATGCAGCTTCCCCGGAACAATCAGCTCTCCGACCTGCCTGAGTTACACACTCTCAATCCCTTGGGAAAAACAGACTAGCTGTAAGAGGGCTGTAAGGGCAGCTTAGATAAATTATGGGAACCAGAGTTTAATGAAAAGGTCTCTCTCTCCTGCCACAATATGGGAGAGACGAATGAAGAAAAGGACCACAGGGCAGGACAAAGCAGGACAGAGTGGGAATCAGACTGGGATATGTCCTGGTAATTCAGTGATTGAGTCTGGCCTCTGACTCGTAGGAAACTGGGTCTGAAAAAAAGCCTTAACGTTAGAATACAATATGTTTCTAAGCTTCAGAGCTTCTGTTCTGTGCCTGCATAAGGCATCTCAGAATTCAAATTCTAACAACACAGTACCTGAAACACCATGGATGCTTGAGTCAACAAGCTCCTAAAAGGCACCTATGAGCTAAAGACAGACACAACGCAGTCCCTGTCCTTACAAACCTCATGGTCTCCAAGTGAAGCCAAGGCATCTCTAGTTTATTGCAAATTAAGGACTACAGGACCCAGGGGGAGGAGCACGGATGTTGCAAGTCTCTAGGAAAAGCTCTCATGGACCTTGCATAGACAAATGGAACTTTAGTTTTAAAAAGGAGGAATGAACTCAATGAGAAAAAAAAGAGGAATGGTCAGGAGCAGGGTGGGTGAGAAAGAAAGTGCCTTATGGGGAAAGCAGGGCAGAAGAGAGTTATGAAGCAGAGGGACAGAAGGACGCAGGATGGAAGAGGAGGGTGAATGAGGTCTGGGAAGGGGCACTGAGAGCCAGCCAAGGGGTGCACACATCGGGCTTGTAGCCTAAGCCCCAGAGAGGCAGGGGCTCTGCATCTTGCTGGCAGTGAACAGACTATGAAAGTGATGGAATCTCACCTTCAGGATTCGGGGTGCTGGGACTTCTGTTGGGTACTCTTTTCCTCTCTCTCCCTCTCACTCTCTCGCTCTTTCACTGCCAGGCTGTGAGATGCTCCATGAGGCAATACACAGAGAGCATGGCAGGAAGGCCAATGGTTTCTGAGGACCCGAGGCCTCCAGAGGATGTGGGTCCCAACAGCCAACAGGTGCAAGAACTTGGAAACAGATCCTGCCCAGCTAAACCTTGGGTTGTCTGAAGCCGGGTAAGAAACCCGGCCATCAGTCACCCCAGTCTGAGACCCACAGCGACTGTGAGATAGTACTGCCATTTGGCAACTGAAGCTCCCAAATTGTGGAGCAACTTGTTACTCAGCTATCAGTGATCAGTAAGGGGAAATGAGAATCATCTAACATATCTGAAGAAACATAGTCTTTCCTTATTAGCTTATTCCTGAAATTTAAAGTTATATGCCCTTTTAATTCTAACTCTTTTTATAGTATAATCATCTTAACTATACATATATCAGTATGTGGGCAAATATATATA